AAGACTCGAACCTGCATAGTAAGAAAGGGTAACAAACCAAAAGAACCACCGCATATGATGTGTTTAGTTATTGCATAATATTATATTTATTCATATTCTATTGACTCGATAGTTTAAACAATTAAACCGGTTAAATTGATCCAATCAAGAACCAAAGGTCAAAATGATTTGACTTCCAAGTCGGTTTTCAAAACACTGAGTGAAAGTATAGACAATACTGATTGTTGAATAATAGAAAAAGATGATTCTCCAATTATTGATTATAACAAATTGAAGATATGATTTATAATAAAAAAGTAATTCCAATTTGTTATTAAATAAAAAATGATATTGACCATTAGCTAATTTGATTTTTTTAATACAATATATCATTAGTTAATTGACCATTATGATTTATTTTTTATATTGCTTTTTGTCACATGATTCTACAATTTTAATTTCAAGATATTGAGGAAGAGCAAGTTGGTGGTTGTAATGGAGAGATTGACTTAGAAACAATTGGTGAAGAATTTGAAGATGGTGATGATATCAAGCATGACTTTTTTGAGCTACATGGTTACTTTGATGAAAATACTCCTCATTTAAGTTAAAATAAATGAATTATTAATAGTGCTGCATCTATTTGATATTTGTACTTACCTATTATGAATTTGGTCTGAAATTTTCTCTCATTTTAGATACAAGACTTATTTTATTGTGGATTCAGTTTGAGATTGAGTTCTCTTTTATTGTCATGCATATTACTTATTTATGTTATTAATTTGGATTTTGAAAATTAAAAGTTAAAACCTTTTTATGTTATATATTTTAATATTTGTTAGTTTAAACTTTAAAAATTAAATATATTTAATCAAATTCAATATATTAAGTTACTTAAATGATAAATTTCAAATTAATTTTATGGTGACTATTTTCTTAAGAACAGAGTAAAATGTATAAATAAGGGTAGGGGTGGGTACATTTCATATATTACCAAATTATTCGAATTTTCAACATGAAGTTTTGAATTTAAAATTGGTTATTTCGGATAATTGGATAAATTTAAATAAAACTAAAATGGCGAAAATTAATTTTAGGTTTAGATACGATTATTGACACATATTTGAAATTACCGATATAAATCACCAAATTATTTGAAATTATCTAAAAAATTTTAATATAAATTTAGTTTGTTTTTTATTTTAGATTTTGTGCTATATGAAATATTTTGGACAAAATTGTTTTTTTAAGTCAAATTTATAAATAGGAATATAAAGAAAAAGACTAGAAATAATTAAAATTAAAAGGAAAAATTAAAAGGAAAAAAATTCTAATAATAAAAAGTGGAAGAATAATGGTATATTTTGATTATTTTAATTATTTAATTAAATTATCTAAATAATTTTAAATAACTAAAATTATAATCAAATTAAAAATTTAGTTTGAATTAGGTATAAAAATTTTATCCAAAATTATTTTAAATAACCAAAAAATTCAACTTGATTTAGATAATCCATATCAGCCCTAAATAAGGGTAAAATCTAATAAAAAAGCTGGGAAAATGAATTTTTTTGACCGGTTGGACCATTTGGGTAAACTGATAAATCAATGGAATCAGACTTAGTGCTCACGAGTTAATTATCGGATCAGATAATTTTTATATTTTCATTGCATAATAGTGGCAGTATTGTCACACCCAAAACTTGTTAATGCTAAAGTATTAATTTTCATGTAGATTATTTTATCATTTCTAACTAATATAACCTATTAGTAC